ACGTGTACTCAGTAATAACATCACATCAAAACAGTATCCAACATGACATATCCAGATATGACAGCTACAAGTGCAAATCCCAAAGGAACAATTCTTTCATTTACAGCACAGCATATGGCGTTTGAACTAATATGAATGCAACGGGTTATACAAATCTGACAGGCTATACACCGATGCTAATGAAACAGGCACGCTTATCATAGAATACGACTCAGAGGGCTTATCTATAAGGTCGAGCGAATTCGCAAATCGTACCTGTTTTAGGCTGGACGTTTTCCTAATGGCCAAGGCTGTGCAGTTTTGTCGCTCTGGTTAATACTTCAGTAGGATGCGACGGTGCTGTCAGTGCTGCTGCTGCTGCTGGTTCAGTCCATGAGTCTGCAAGACAAGAGAGGGATGACGTATGCGCATTGCTGAATGCTGATGATATGCGAGGATTATCCAAAACCACTCTATCTGCTTAGGCTCAGTAGTGCTGAGGCGTTTGATTCATCTCAGTGACTCGAATCTTCTGAACCAGTTCACTGATTCGTTTAGTGACTCTTTGTATTGTGTTTCGACTTCCGCCGGTAGGTGGCGACAGTGAGTCGTTTTTGTTATGATGATACGTTCACTCATGGTGGTTCTTTTTCACATTCCCGGGTTTCTCAGCAGCGGAAGTCGTCATAAGGCGCGTTTCCAGTACAGATTTGGCAAAACTTTGGCGATATATTATAAATGTCGATAAAAAAGTATTGCGAAATGGCGGCGTTTCCATTAACCAATGTTATGAGACTTAAACGTAACCTTTTGCCTCTCGCGATAAGTTATGGCAATGGATTTTGGCTATATTTATTCAAAGGAGGCTTATGCGTGTATCTTTACAGAAGCAGCAAAGAGAGCCGCTTCAGAAACGTGCGTGGCGTGGCTGGAATAAACCATAGACTGTATAAAAACATAAACACAAGCATTGAGTGGCCGCAATCAGCTTCAGTGGCCGTATCAGAGCCACACTGCACCGCAGACGTGTGCAGTGTAAATTGTTTAAGCATTAATAGTAGGGAAAGCCGCTTATGCTGGACCGCGGCCACTTATGAAGTGTTTCTTGGAGGTTATAGTACATTGAAGAATGATCATATGACTTTTTATATACGCCATGTGACCTGTAAAGGCGAAAAAGCCGTTTCCATTGAAGTTTTGCGAATTATTCCTTTTTCGCATTGCCTGAAAAACCGCCTCATGCGAGCGTAACAACTTTTTTGCGATATATGGGTGTTTTTGCGAAATTGACGCGTTTCCATTAGGCGTATTTTCAATTCGCAATTTCAATTTGCGCAATTTGAAGGGTAATGGAAACGTGCCTAGTGTTGGGTAAACTTGAAGAGCAGTGAATGGGAGAGCACCCCTCATATCTTTTTTGGCATTCCCAGTTGCTCAAATAGCAAAAGAAAAACTCCACGACAGTGTTTTCATGACTTTCAATAAACGGAAAACAGTTGAGATAACGATGTCAAATTTACAGAACTTCCCATAGACGCTGCATTAGAAACACCCTCACATTAGCATTAACTGTTTTTTTGTAATTTGATGCAAAGGTGATATAATAGGCCTACAAAGAATAGGGTTATAAATGTAGATACATTTAAAAAAAAATACAAATATAAAAAACTTTCGAGGATTTACGATGCTGATGACCGTTAAATGCATCATCAAAGTCTTGTAAAAAGGGTCCATTCTTTAAAAAGACAGTTCGGTCAATGTATAGATTTCCCGCCAAATTTCTCTCATATTGAAAGTGAGACTGATTTACGTGCCTGATTCTTTTATGTGATGAGAATGAGTTGACTCCTTTCATTAGGTGTGAAAAAGTCTCTCAAAAGGAAGATTGAACTAAATATATGATTAATTGAATGCAAGTGAAAGAGAACGATTTGTTCGCCTGAGTTCTCATTTGATTTTTCAATAGGAAATATGTGACATATGTGTCATAAGTAGCACAGGTACATTTGTAGCAATAGGCAACAATATTATTATTATTATTATTTCTTTATTTCAGACCCTTAGGTCCATATCACAAACAGAATACAAGAAACAAGGAAAGAAAATCACATTCAAACATACATTTTAGCTTTACTATAACTACACCATAAGTGTGACGTATAAAAAGAAGTGCAGTAAGCTCTAAAAAGTGCTATTTTTACATCAACAGTGCACATGTAAAATTTACAAGCCAACATATTTGCCTCTCCGTATAACTTACAGCACTGGCGTTACATATCATCATCATCATCATCATCATCATCCTCATTTAAATCATCTCTACACGCTAAAAAATGCTGGGTTAAGTACAACCCTAGGTTTGTCCCTATTTTACCCAGCACTGGGTTGTATTTAACCCAGCATTTTTTAGAGTGTAATAATGTGACCTAGATATTTTATTTTATTTACCACATTCAATACTTGGTCACCTAAACAAAAGGAGGGAAACTTTTGATTACGATCCTCTTTAGTTTTAACAATCATAACCACACTCTTTTTAGTATGAAATACAATATCATACTGCACCATAATTTGAACATACACGAAGCAACTGTTGTAACCCAACACTATAAGGGGACAGAATAACTAAGTCATCAGCCTACATCAAATGGTTCATAAGACCATCACCTATAACACATCCAGTTTTACACTCATTTAACTCAACAGAGAGATCATCCATATACAAATTAAAAAGAAGAGGTGATAATATTCCACCTTGCTGAACCCCATTCGTCACATAAAAGGGTGCCGAAACATTCCTACCCCATCTGACTTGTATAGGTTGATGTATATAACTACTGTAAAATCCTAATCAAATATGGGGGAACCCCTCTGTCTTGTAGCTTTATAAACAACTTAGTGTGATTAATTCGATCAAATGCCTTAGAAGCGTCTAAAAAGCCCATAAATACTGTAGAATTGTGTCTATACACACTAACCACTTCCTTTAACAAATATATGCATAAATCGGTACCATGCTTCCTTTTTAAACCAAACTGATTGTCGGCAGTTACCAAATATTCTTTGAGCCGATCCATAAGGATATGCTCAAATACTTTTGAAATAATATTTGCTAAGGCAATTGGCCTATAATTTTCTATACTGGATATTTTACCAGTTTTATCTTTAATTACTGGCACTAATAAAACTGTCAGCATAGACTGAGGTAACACACCATGCATTAAAAAACCTGTGAAGCACAGAGCAAGTAACACTGACATTTTTTGGCTAGCATACTTCAGATGTTCAGCTACTAAGTCAGGGCCACATACTTACAACCACAAATTTACTGCCAATTTCTCAATAGCACAATTAACCTCAGCAGGTCTAATAATCATACCAGCATCACTCGGTATATGACCTACTTCAAATTCCTGCCTCTCAACACAATTAAAAATATCCATGTAATATTTTCTCCACAATTTAACAATATTCTCTGCCCCAACAACCCCTTCAATACTAGTTGGCAGTGGTACTTTACTATTATTAATAACTTTAACTTCTTTCCAAAGATCATGAACATTATTTTGCTGAAATTTCTTTGTCATTGAGTTTGTTCTCATGGTTGCTTCATTTCTTTTAATAAACCGTACAGCATATTTAAATTTGGCATTGGCCAATTTCTTTTTTTCAAATTCTGGGCCATACCTCTCTTTACCTGTTAAACCCCAATTTTTAAAAGCATCTTTTAAGTGCAATTCAGATACATATTCATTCCATCCAGCCCTAAAAAGATCACTTTTAACTACTTTTTGACAGAAAGGTTTACTGGCATTATTTAGAAAATACACTATTTCATCATACATAAAATGCAACTCATTGATATGTTTAGAATTCTTACAGTTAACATTATAACACATAATCAGTTGATACAGCTATGTTACTTTAATCTCTTCTCTGTTAACATTTTACATGGCCAAAGGTCATTTGCCGTAAGACTTGCCCAATCTAATTTTTCACAATTCTCATGTTTATCATAATTGCTCAGCTCAGGTAAACTTTCAACATTTAACATCATAATATATGGTTTGTTGTGGCCAAGTCATACAAAATCTCAAGTTTCTCTAGACAATTATGTGCATCAGCTGTGCATTTGGTCCAGCCAAGATGTTGTATTCCATGCTTCACTGATATATGTATAACTATCTATTGGTATCAATACATTGTATGGGTTAAAATTATCGTACCAAAATTTCCTACTGTAATTATATATCAGAACTTAATTTTTGATCAGTAATATGCATGACTAAGAATTCATTTAGACAACTTTAAAGGCGATTTTCTCAATATTTAAATTTTTTCCCCGGTTTTTTTTTTGCACCCTCAAATTCCAGATTTTCAAATAGTTGTATCTCAGCCATATTGTTAGCTATCTTAACAAACCATACATCAATGGAAAGCTTATTTATTCAGCTTTCAGATGATGTATAAATCTAAATTTAAAAAAAATTACCCTTATGACTGGTTTTGTGGTCACATATGTGCAATTTCAGATAAAACACTGCTGTTCGTATGATTTCATTAAGTAAATTCCAAACTGCAAATGCATTTCTCACCACACATGGCAGATGTGCTGCTACCTAGCATTCAGCAATTCAGTTTTTAAACAAGGGCTCCATTGTTTGACATTTCTTCTGAAACACATGTTGATTGTTACTTCCCAGGGCCATGTGAACACGATCCTTAAAACAGAAGAATATGGTGCAAGATGGCATCTGACAGGGACAATATTCCTTTATTTTGCTTTTGCAAATAGTAGCTTTGGGTCTGGAAATTTGCCAGCAAATATAATACCAAGAAAAATAAATTGTACAAACACGTACTAGAGTAAGTCTGGATGCAGAAAATCAGTTTTTATGTTTAATAACGTCAAATATCGGTGGAAGATTATTAATCTTTCTATATAGATTGTAATGCACAGTCTGGCCGCCTCCCACGTCCCACCTAGCGGCCAGTTGCAGGTACTGCACAGCGTTTATTTCTGCAGGGAAACGGGAAAAGACCAATCAAAAATAAGGATACTAGCATGTGGAGCGGCTACCTAGAAGAGCCTAGTTGCTACAGCATCGCCCTTAGTGTCTTGCCAGGCAAGAAAGATGGAGGAAATAGAAGGTAAGTCTTTAAAAAAAGCAACAAAAGATGCATATGTAAATATTGTGAATATGACGCTTCTAACCTTTAGCATTCAGTCCGTGTGGTTGTATAAGGGAGAGCAGCTTTGGTTTATTCGGTCGCTGTTGTTTGAGGTTATCACCATGGAAGAGAATGACGTCTTGACGTTTAACTGTTATTTGAACTGTGTGTATATAGGTACATACTGTACATAGATGGATGGATTGGTAGATAGCTGAAGTGCGTTTGTTGTGATATTTGATTCATGTGAAGTGAGCTATACAACTTGCATTACATTACACACATGCTCTGTTCTGCTCTTTCAAATAAATAAATACAAATCAAATGTCAAGATTTTTTCTCCCAGCATCCTTCACATCCTTCGGTTCCTGCCTTCAGTCAGTCCCTCAGTTGTTTTACATGGACTGACAGGAGTGACCTATTTCCACACACTTCACCCTGTAGCTGAGTGAACTGATCGGCACACCCAGATAGACTCACTCAACTATTCATCTTTATCATTTTTGTGTTTGTGTTTTTTTCTATTTTATCATGTTGATCTGTTACTATTTATTCTTTGTGTTTTGTCTACAGAATCTCCTCCTGTTTCTGAAGACCTGCTGGCCTGCAAAATATGTGGAAGGAATTTTTTTTCAAAGGTTCTTGTAAGTATTTCTGAATGGATGATGAGCTGACAGCTGGTGGTTGATGTAAATTATCTTGCCATTCAAATGTGTGTGCAAACATAAAAATAAAAATCCCAATGTGACATTCTAAATTAAACATATAACTATATATAAATAAGATTTTTTACTGTGTTAGTGTATGTGCATTATTATAGGTTGCCTTGCAAGTTGCAGTATGATACAGGATGTACACTACAGTTCAAAAGTTTTTATTTTTTTATATTTTCTAAAGCACTCTTTCATGCTCATCGAGGCTGAATTTATTTTATTTAACAAATACAGTAAAAATAGTAATATTGTGAAATGTTGTTATTATTATTATATAGAAAACTATTGTAGTTTACATTATGTGTTGCCCAGCAATATACTAGCCAATTATGTTGTTATGTAGTTGCCAAATCAAGATTAGCAACAAGGCATGTATTTCTCTCAGGTCACAAAGTAAACACAAAACCTGGTATAATTACTCAGTCAGCGCAATGCTGTCACAGTTATTTGATACCTGATTACCTATTGTAGAAAAAACATGTGCCGATCTGCCAGAAGACGGCTGCAAAGAAGAGAAAGGTGTTTGACTCCAGCAGGCAAAGGGCAGAGGGGACTGATATTCCTACACTCAAACCCATAAAACCAAAGGTGAGGAAACGACCACATTTAAACATTACAGCGACACTTTTAAACTAGTTGTTTGGACCTGGATCTAGTTTACCTTGTACTGTGTTTGTTCCCTTCATGTTCACATTTGATGGTGAACTGTGAGTGGTTACATGCAGTTTATTTTTCAGACTGCTGCACATTCAGAAACCGTGTCATGTGCTGTTGCCATAAAATTCATCTGCAGGGTCACTGCATACATTGACAGTAGTGTTGTTCACCAATCTTAGTAGTAACGGAACAACATCAGCATAAAGGCAAATAATACATTTTACTGGCTTTTAAACCTCATTGCCCAGCAACACTGGCAACAGTTCTGTATCTAGTACTGTATAGCTAATAATAATAAAAATAACACAGAAATTTTGTTAGGCTAAGGTTTACGCTACAATACAATGACACGCCAATATCTAATGAACACAACTTTTTTTTTTTCTGCATCAAAATTCTCAGGGAATAAAAACCTCAGTGCTAATCTGCAGTAATTAAAAAATTTCCCCCCACACTTTATGGATTACATTTATTTAATGTTCTTTGACAGCATTCACATTGAAGTTTCACATAGAATAAATGTGGATAATGCAGTGTAAAAAAAAAAACAAGATTCTTTTATACAAATAGACTTGCAGTACTTTCAAGATGCATTTTTATAAATACATAAAAATGAACTTGTTTTACATCGAAATATATCAGATTTATTAGGGTATAAATTCAAAGCAAATAAGTAATCTACAATTATTTTAGTAAAATATGTTAAAATTAAAAATCTAAAATTTTAAAAATCTTGGAAGAATGATTGGAATATTAATTTTGTTTTGCACTTTTTTAAAAATTTACATTTACTTTTGTTGATTTTGTCACAATTCTCACGATGACCATAAACCTCTGCAAGTCTCTTGTCCGCCATGAATTACTCCTTTATTGTATTATTATTTAGTTTTTGTGTGCACATTCCTTGTTGCATATTCCTCCGGCATGGCTGTTCCTGGGAAACCAAGCCCATGACCTTTCTGCTGTATGTGCCATTCTTTATCAGTTAGTCTAAAGGAAAATCATGCTTGGCTTCCCTCACAACATCAAGTTTTTTGGGCAGTGTGAACATGGCATTTGTTTCTCAACTTTCACCAGACAACTTCACTGAACATTTTTTTTTCATTCATCCAATTAAAAAAATGTAGGGTAATGATTCACATCTATATTTTTTAACTTGAGCCAATGAAAAATAAATAACTTGCCCTAAAAAAAGACCTCAGTCTCAAACAGAGCCCATTATTCAGGGCTGATCATATAATACCCTAGTGTCCTGAAGTATTCTAAAACCCCTTTTGATTATGTTTCAGTTACAAAGTTCTTCCAGCAGCTCTAAGTCTGATAAAGTAAGTTGAATGTTTGTTTTTGAATTTAATTTTTTTTTCTCATCACTGAATTTTGTGTCTCACCATGTCACTTCTAATATTAAGGCTGCAGTGTTTAATATTTGCTTGCTTTGAAAAAAAATCTCCAAAAGAGTTATACATTATACATTGTAAATAATCTTGATTTTTTTTTCCGTCAAGATGTTTGTCTTAAGTTTATCTACTCTGGGATCAATAAACAATGTTTATCTGTCCTGGGGCCCGTTTCAGAAAGGAGGTTAAATTAAAACTATGTTAACCCTGAAATGAGGGAAACTCTGGGTTTTCCATTTCAGAATGGGAGGTATGTCAAACCCGAGAAAGCAGGGTAAGTCAAGCCCGTTTCTGAAAGGGAGGTAACTTATACTCAGAGAGTCATTTACCATGGTAACTTACTCTGTGAACCTAACCTGGTCAGGAGCAGGTTTTCTTCAGTAAACCCAGAGTTTCTTTTGGTCTCCTCCCCCTTTTTAAAGCGCAAGCGATGTTTAAATACTTCATTCATGCACGCTGCAAAAATGCTTTTCTTACTAAGTATTTTTTTTCTTTTTTCAAGTACAAATATCAAAAAATTCTTAAATCAAGATGGATTTTCTATATAAGAAAATTATATATAAGATATTTAGTCTTATTCCTGGGGGGGGGTCTAAATTAAGTGCATTTTACATAAGTAAAATTATCTGCCCGTGTGGTAATAAAAATCATTTTAATGCAAATGGAAAACAAGATTATTCAGAGTGTCTATTACTATGTGCAAATTTACAGTAGCTCCACCCTCCAATGTGACACAAGGTTAAATACGACGTGAATGATTAACGACTTTGGTAGTGTAGGCAGTAACGCGTTGGGCGCGGAGAGCTAGCTTGTGACGTGATTGATCGGGTTCGAGTCCGGCTTTTGCCGAACTCGCTCTCACTTTTCCCATCACATATCACATTAGAATTTTTTATTTTTTTTAAATGAAGAAAATGTTCTAAAAGTGGAAGTAAAGTGCCTAACGAGTGTTTAATAATGATAAAAGTATTTATAATTTTAATAAATATAATCATTTACACTCTGCTATTATTGCATCCTGTTAATGTAGGCTACAACAATACTGAGGTGCAAATAGTATGTATCCGCCAGTATAAAGTATAAATAGCATCTAATTATTATTTACACTTATTGCAAAGAACTGCTACTTTTACATGGTAAATAGAATATATCACTAGTTTCACTAAGTGTAAATAGCATCTAGAGCTATTTGCACTTAGCCTACTGTGAATAGGATCTATCGCTAAGAGAGAATGCTAATTCCACTTAGTGTAAATAGCCGCTGCCGTATTTTTCTTACCCTATTGGCAGATCATTTGTAAAATAAGAAAAATGCACTTAAATTATTATTATTATTATTTAAATTTTTTTGCCCATGGGATACCATGAAAATGAATAGCCTATTAGGTCAATAACCTACCGTTCTGCCAGTTTTCATCTGTGGTATTATAACAGTGATAATAATTAAACTTGTATTGACTCTGAAGTATGCAGACGTCTTTTTGTCAGGTGCTGTCGCCATGGTGAATCGTAATATCGGAGCTCCATTGATCATGGCTTTTCATAGTCGTGGTGCACGCGCTAAACTCGGAGTCAACCTACTCGGAGTCGATTGAACTAACTCAATTCAGCTGTTCTGAGTTCAAGTTTTAACTCCGAGCTGGTTGAACCTCCTTATTGAAACGGGCCCCTGACATACAAAACACAATTATTGTTGTTAAATCTACGATTCTTCAACTTATCCAACACAACATTCAAGATATTTCCTCTAGTATTTCTGCTGTAATGATGATTAGCTTGTTTTCAAGCGTTTATTATTAGCAGAAAATAGGAGTATCAATAGATTAAAATTAGCCATGATTGATTTTGTAATTCCAGGGGCCCGTTCTTCGTACGTCGCTAACTCAGTTAGCTGGATATGATTGTTGACGATTTGGCATGATCTTGGATTGGTTGGTTCTTCGAAGCTCATCCCAGAGTTGCTGTCATAGCAACAGGTCCGTAAGCTTAAACCTGCTCGGGAGCAGGCTTATTTCATGTAAACAGGATTAGATGACATCTTTTTAAGCAGAATTGATGCTTAAAATCTGTCCGTTACCAACGCTACTTTATTACAAGAGTACCCTACTAATCCAGGGACAATAATTTAAAACAATAATCATTTAAAAATGTATTTAAAGATAATATAATAATGTTGTGTAGTCTTTTATACTATAGACACAGCCAGTTTTACTCACTGAAAGATTTATTCGTCATAAAATTATTACTTCATAATTGTATTCGAGTCTTACACACATGCTATACAGATAATGTAGAGTCGTGCATTAATTTGAGTGATGACAGATATTATGGGAGTGGCTTGATGGAGCGCAGGAGATGCAGATAACTTGATCTTGACCCTTAAGAAACTTTAATTTAATGCTGTCACGTAACAAGTCTGTTCAAATATAAAATTAAATGAATTGCTAAATTACATTGAAATAAAAATGTAAAATATTAGAAATCATGAATATAAATAATTGGGAATCATGTAAAAAATTAAAATAAAATTAAAACGGTGCACATTTCATTGATCTATTATAACATTTATGTAGTTTTGTTCGCTTGGCTGTTTCCTTATAAAAGTCCAAAAATTTGTCAAGTTTTTCGTCAGGTGTCTTTTTTAATTATATGATGTCATTACGTTGCTGTCTTGCCGCCAGCCAATCGCTGCATTGCTGATCGTGGTTTCGAGTTTCGATACATAGCCCCTTTTAAACCAACCCATGCACACGCAATTGTCTCAGATAACTCAATCCAGCCATACTAATCATCAACAACAGGTGCGTTTGAAGAACCGAATTAGCCAGATCCTGATTAGCGCGATGATATCATTTTGGATGTGACATTTCATCTCGGCTGTAATAAGCGATGTACGAAGAACGGGCCCCAGATGTATGATGAACTGCATGTTGTTGTTGTTGTTGTTGTTTTTTGTAAAAGCAACAGTTTTTGATGATAAATGTTTTAGTTTAATTAGATTATAATAATATTCAACATTTTTAACAAATTTTAAAACTTAAAACACTAATAAAAATAACTAATAAAATTCATTTTCATACTGTGCGGTATAATGTTGTGATGCCTAAATTCACTTGTAGTCTTAAATATGATTTATTATTATTTTTTAGAGTTTTTACTTTTCATTTAGACGAAATGGTATAGAATTTGAATATTGTCCATTTATAATTTTTGGTTATAACATGAAAATTATCCGAATTTTAAGAATGGTACGTTCCTACATTTTAAATAATTAAGTAATCTTTCCCCCTTTGAAGGTTATGTAGTAGGTGATTTAGGAAATTTAGAATTGGAATATCCTGCATTCCTGTTTTGAATGTTTTTAAACTAAATGTTTCTTTTAAACAGCCTGAACCACCGAAGAAACAGTCCAATTGGCGCCGAAAGCATGAAGAATTCATTGCCACCATTCGTGCTGCCAAAGGTTTAGATCAAGTCATGAAAGATGGCGGACCCCTTCCTCCACCCCCTCCTCCATCCTATGATCCAGGTAAAAAAACAAAACACTAGTCTATTGACACTGGGAAGAGTTACAGTAAGATGGGTAAAAACAGTAACAGCGATTGACTTTTCCAGATTATATCCAGTGTCCCTATTGCCAGCGGCGCTTCAGTGAGAATGCAGCAGATCGCCACATCAAGTTCTGTAAAGAGCAAGCGTCCAGAATTTCCAACAAAGTGAAGTTTCCTGGGAGTGATAAAGCCAAACCCCCAGCCAGGACTCAGGTGAGGCTTCAACTGTAAAGATGACTTGGGATCAGCCAGGAGTTTTTTTTTTTTTTACTTAGAAAAAAGTATGCCATTTTAACATGATAAACATAAACAGAATGATCAGAAACTTAATATTTGATTACGTCAAAAAAGTGAAATCAGCGCACTGCCATATTGGTATTCATTACCAAATATTATTCAAAGATTTATGCATTGTATATTAATTTGCCTTGTGCATTCACTGTTTATGTATTGTTGTTTTATTGTTTTTATTTGTACAGTAGGCTAACGGCAAATGTTTCAATAATGATTTTGTTAACAGCATACATTTTGAAACAGTTAGTGATTTAAACGTTGGTTAAAGTAGTAATTAATTAAACATACATACCAATTTTCTTGCTCTATTCTTTTTCTATTCTGTCTGTTTTTCTTTTTATTTATTATATAATTTAAAAAAACCTTGCTACGTATACTGCGCTAAGCTAACTGAGACTTGTTATATCACTTGCATATCATTGCTCTTTTGTTGATTTTGATTGCTTCCATTGTCTTCATTTGAAGTCGCTTTGGATAAAAGCATCTGCTAAATGACTAAAATTAAACTTAACATAATATTTTACTCCTATGGAAACGGTAATGCTATAGTAAAATGCAATCTTGAAGAGTCTGAAATAGACATTGTTCCATCAGGACATAAAAAAAACACACATCAGAACTTATTCAGATAAATAACACTGACTACAGATGATACTGCGCTAAGCTAACTGAGACTTGTTATATCACTTGCATATCATTGCTCTTTTGTTGATTTTGATTGCTTCCATTGTCTTCATTTGTAAGTCGCTTTGGATAAAAGCATCTGCTAAATGACTAAATGTAAACTTAACATAATATTTTACTCCTATGGAAATGGTAATGCTATAGTAAAATGCAATCTTGAAGAGTCTGAAATAGACATTGTTCCATCAGGACATAAAAAAAACACACATCAGAACTTATTCAGATAAATAACACTGACTACAGATGATACAGACTTAAAGACATGAAACTGAACATTGAATTTTAATACATTACAGAACAATATTAACAGAGGCTTGTATTGTAATATTTATTGTATATCCAAATTAATTTCTGATACTAATACCAGATACATGTTCATGCTTAATATTTATTGGATAAGTATGTACATAAAGAAATATATTTTTGTGTTGGATCCGTTACCTTTGTCGGCAAGTGCACAGCTGGCACACCCAACCTAAACGATTTAAATTTATCAAAAAACACTTTTTAAAGGAGTATTTACCAGAAATGTTATTTACCAGAATTTATTTAGGAGAAAAATGTAAATGTGCAGTATTTCTAAAAGATAAAAAACTTTTTTTTTTATTTTTATAAAATCAATTAATTGGATATGCTTTTGATTATTAACATTTAATGGAACCATTAAAATGGAATCCAGAAAATAATGGAAAACAGAATTTGGTAAAGATAAAACTGTAAAACTCAATTAATTAGACGGGCTTTTTGATTAATAAAATTTGGAAATAAAACGGATTTCATAGTGCCCTATAATTATAATGCATTTTTTTGTGGTAATAAAAATAGGTGTAAGTGAACAATAGCCTTTAAAATTACTTAATATTCATATATAATAGCAATGAGGCAACAATAATTAGTTCAAATAAAGTATCAAAAGCAAGAAAAAATATGGTTTTATTGAACAAAACTGTTAAAATACATAATGTATTAGAAACAATAGAGCTAATGTACATCACGCATTACAACAAAGCCTGCAGAGGCCTTATTTTTACACATTGCTGTGCGATCTAATGCTTGTTTAATATTAATAATACCAAGCACCATTTAATTCAAATGTCAACTTAATCTTTAATATTTGGCCATTTCTTTAGGACAGAAATGCTATAGCCACTGTAATTAAAAGAATATGTGGACATCAAAACTTGTAAACTCAGAGTAAGGGTTTGAGCTTTTATTTTGTAACCGCGACGTATTCTCCTGAGTTTGCGTAGATTTATAAATGATTTACCTTATAGATCTGATGAAATGGCGCACGTTGCGTTCCCAGATGAAAGTTATAATAAACCCAAACTCACAACAACATGCAGAGATGGAGTTTGAGACGCTCCACACATGTAAATGATAACAGGTCCTGTGGAACTACTGTAAACGGAGCCACTGTGTGACGCATGTACTTAACCTACACGCATGTAAATAATTAAAGCGCATATACTGTATTAGAACTGCATCGCATATAATTATTTCATTAAATCGTAGCATTTGTGAATTCACAATTATGCTTAATTATGATTTTTAAATGGGTTTAATATAGAATGCAGCCTTGGGAAACAGTCTGAATGTGTTTTATGGATTCTCGTCTGTGAAATGTGCCACTTCTGGTATTTTGCCGGTTAGTCGACACAAGCAAAATTAAGTCGAGGATTTTTAAAAATCGAATAGTCAAATAAAATCGACGAATCGCGACAGCCCTAATCCTGTGCGACTGATATACTTCAAATTGGGTGATTTTTTTTTTTTTTTTAGGTCAAGGTTTTGGCTGGCTGCTCGAACACTTCCGGTGGCGTCAAGTCATTATATAGATCAGTGCTTGGGGCTATGACCTTTAATGTTCCACTAACAGACAGACTCCAGACAATGCCTTTGAATATGCTTTAATCATGGCTGGGAGGACCTCATACCCAATCACTGTGAATGCTTCTGACAAAAAGAATACCGCATAGCTGCATGGCAAAGATGACATGATTCATTGCATTATTTTTCTCTAATGTAACCGTTTCTTCATATGTGTAATTGGCCATTTGGTTAGGTGATGGGGAGTTCGATATTATTTGTTAAATATAACAAAAAGTTGTGTGTCCAAATGCTACATAAGCTAGAATGAAAATGCAACTAATTTTCTCAATTTTGCCAAATACATATGCCGCCATCTCCCAACATTTTATGCCAAGCCATCCTGTTTTGAAAATACACAACAAAAGAATGGTATCATTTTTACAGATTCAAAATTAAAAAACTGATAAAATAGAATGACACAGGGGGAAAGTATTGAACACATGAAGAAAGGGAGGTGCAAAAAGGCATGGAAATGGCCGTGCTAGAATAGCCCAATCAGTAATCTGACTTGAATCCACTAGAAAATAAGAACTAAAGATCATAGTTCATAGAAGAGGCCCACAGAACCTTGAATGGGCCAAAATCACACCTGAGCAATGCATGCGACTAGTTTCTCCATACAGGAGGTGCCTTGAAGCTGTCATTACCAACAAAGGCTTTTGTACGAAGTATTAAATACATTTCAGTAGTTCAATACTTTTTCCCTGTGTCATTCCATTTTATTGCACGTGCCATAATTTTTTAACTTATTTGTTTTGTTTTCTTTGTATGTATGGATTACTTGGGTTGTTGTCAACATTTGGTGAAAATTTCATGTCAACAACACCTTTAGAAATGTATTTACTGAAAAAATAGTGACGTGTTCAATACTTATTTTACTCGCTGTATATTTGTAGTGGGATGACTTTCTTTTAGCCTAATTTTACATTTTTACAATGTTTTTGTAATGTATTAATTATCATGGGCTGTAATAAAAAAACTAGTAATACTAAAACTATATAGGCTATACATTTGGTTTGAATAGTCTATATTTTAGTAAGCTATAAATATGTGGCTATGTTACAGTTCCCCTTTGAAGCTCTTGTTTTTCTCCTTTTCCATCTCTCCAATCCTATTCTGCTCACAGGTGATTGGAGATGAGTTTTTTGTTCTCACTTTGTTGCAGTTTCATGATTTTTGTAAAATAACATCTGTTTTTGCTTTTCAGATAAAAGAGTGCTTTCAGTTTAATATGTTGCAGGTTCATTTATTGGTAATAAATAATTGATAATAAATAATCTTGATGATAGTAAATCATAATAAAAAAAATATTGGGCTTGTTTTGGGCTTGTTTTTTAAGCTGCGGTTGCTTATTTATCTTGCGAGAGTTGGCAACAGTGTTTCTGAAATAGAGGAAGCAGCTCAGTTTTTGACTGTGAGAGGGAACTTGAATGTGAGGATGTTTATTTCACCGTGTTTGATTTAAACATGTGTTAGTATGTTATACAAAGTTCAGAATTGGCTTGAACTGTTGGACTAGTTAACGGCAATAGCAAACTAATGGTGAAGCAGATTTTAAACTGCTCTTGTTTTGATAAAAGACAGACAGTTGGCAATGAAGAGGAAATTTGCCTTTTTTGACAAGACCATTACTTGCTCACTCCTCAAACCAATTAATCTCTGGCTTTGAAGTAAAGTCAATACAAAGAGGGCAACTTTGCTTCGCTGGATAAAAGGAGATTGTTTGTATGTTTCTGTTTCTGAATATTACTGATAATCAAAGTAAATATTCACACAGTGGAAGTTCAAGTTCAAAATCAAAGTGGAGTGAACAAATTGTAGTGATTTCTATGTAAGATTAATGTAGTGGTTGTAGTTCTAAGTAGTATCACAAGTGTAATGGCTTTGGCCTTAAATATTAATATTAATAATTAGTTTTCATCACACTATTTTATAGGGCACCAGCCAAGGAATTTCACCTTGACAATAAAGAACAAACATAATGACGTGTGGCGTCATGATTGTCCAGTGCTCAGCAATAGTAGGCTAAGCTCTGACACGGCAAGTTTTAGCTACAAAATTAGTCCCCCGAAGTAGGAGAAGAGATATTAGGTCAGAGAGAGCTGTGTTGGAGATGCTAAAGGGAGACTGTTGTGGTAAGGAAAGAGGAGTCCAGAGAAGAAGCCATGGGAGACGCTTCTGCACCAGCCAAGAAAACAAATCGGTCTCTGGCTAGTGGTGGGCTTCAAACAGGACCTCCACTTCTACTAACACACAAGGCTTGAGTGCACAGCAGGCAGTTAAGAGGGAGCTCTTCAACTACCTTCAGTCTCCAGATGCTGACAATGACTCAAATCCTCTTGATTGGATTGGACTGAACTTCC